CGCGGAATTATCGAGCGGCGTGCGCGGAGTGGGTGCAGTTTGCGCCCGAAGGCCACGTGCCGATTGGGGTGGCGAGGCCACGACGAGAAGGCACGGGGGCTGGCCATGGTGGTGGCTCCCATGTGTAAATCCCTCGCACCAAGGGTCCATTGCCCCAGCCACGCAGAGGTCACTGCGCGCCGTTGCTTCTCTCAGCACAAACTTCCCCTCTCTCCACTCGAGTTAGTGGCCAAGGCGCAGCGGGTGCATCGAGTGATCAGGAATGTGCGGTTTTATTTTTTTGGAACGTACGGAGATCACTTCTTTGCTGTACGGAGATCACTTATTGAACGGACGGACATCCACCGATAATTTAACGCTGTGTCTGTGGGGAGAAGTTTAACAACTTCGTTTCTATTCGCCGCACGCAGTAAACGCTCGATGAAATATGTTTAACTACCCGAGACCGATTTTCCGATATATAATGCATTTATTAGTAGGTGATACGATCCACGCGAATAGACTATCCTTTATTAGCTTTCTCATTTAATGTTGAAACATTAAACACAATTCAAGCGTATCTTTTCCAGCTAGCTTTTTACAATTCTATTTTCGGACCCTGTGTCAAACCACTGCTGGATTCTGTGTCTTTGTCTATACTTCACGCTGACAAGAGGTGTCGCTTCAGATATCACTTGCCACTGATGTTAGCCGTGACCAGCAATCGAACTCAGGTGGTAGTCTCGTTATCCGTGTGGGCACGTATTCAACTATACAGCTACCGCCCCAACCAAGCCAACGTATTAAAATGTAAAAGTTTGAAATGCACCAAAATGTATACCACTAGAGCTTGCAGACATGGGCGTGATTACTTAAGGACCGATGGTGCTCCCACAGACTTCGCTGTGTTACTTGCTTCAAGTTTTGGCCATGAAAGCGACTTCTCGATGATTAACGAGCCTTTTCTCCGGAGCTCAGCATCACACTGGCCGTGTGCCATTTTTGAAATTATCAATTCAGGTCCTGCCGGTTTAATTCCTCAGCGGCACGCGACGGCCCACAGAAACGCCGCCATGCTCGCTTCTGACCATCGGCATTGCTTCCTAACACTGCGCCCAGTAGACACAGTCCGTGTACGGACACTGTACGTGCTGTGTCGGGACTGCGGTTGGACATGACAATATCATAAACCTTTACGTCGCATTGGGGAGAGATTTACACGTCGTTGCAAATGAGAGCTTGCCGTCGCGAGTCTGTCCTGCAAATGGTGATGATGCTCGTGATGATGATGGGTATTATTGCAGCTGCAAGCCAACTTGCGCCGAGCAGAACCATCAATCCTAACACCTTCTCGCCCCCCCCCCCCCTACTCACCACCGCCTGCTGCCAGGGAAAAAAAAATCAGACCTCTAGGACCGTGGGAGGAATGGCCATGTCGGCTGAATGCTGGAGATCGTGGCGTTAAATTCTACACCCTCGATAGAGTACCCAAGCTGGGAGAAAATGCTGCAACTCTGAGTCGTTGGAAATGTGCAATTTCTATACATAGCCTGCGCGTTCCTTCTGGACGAGGGTTAAAATTTCAGAGTTCTGCTCCACAGGGATGGCCTTTTACAACAGCACACGTGTGCGTGTCGGTGCCAAGGGGCACTTGACAGGTCCCCTCCACGCACAACCTCCTCGCCTGCGTGGTCTTGGCCGTGCAGGCTGTGACAGCTTGCTCCCAGTCTCCAGGCCATATATCCCGTATGCATTTCTGGTGCTTGGTTTTAGTGTCACTCCGTGCACCCTATCTGTATGCAGGAGAGAGTTGACGATAATAGCTTGCGGGTCCCCTGCCACACTGGTAACGCCGCTGGCATTTTTTCCCCTTGTATTTGACTGTCTACTCATGTACTGGATGAAGGGGATGGCTAATATTGGTGAGTGTGAGTTTGCTGTTGAGCCACTCTGTGCCCACAGGTAATAACGGGCACATGCCTGCTGGATCGTTTCTGCGGGAAATTATCAAAGCAATGCCGCATGCTGTAGAGCTGATATGAAAGACCTCGATGTTATAATCACTCGCAAGCATAAGGCATTTCGTGTGCTGTTGGAACAGCCAACAAAACATTAATATGAAACTTGTGCGCAAAATGAGATGTTATAGGAACAGATGACCGTACCGTGCGCCTCGATGAACTACACTCTCTCAGACCTCCCTTGTGAAATATATACGAAATTTCAATGGGGTTACACCAGGATACATAAGGCCATAGGCTAGATATATATGTAATACATATGTAAATATATATAAATAAAACGATACACAAGGACTTTGACGAATTATTTTAATACTCAGCGAACGTGCTACCTTCACCCCACCTTCACGCAGCTTCTCGCGCTCAGCAGCCGCACGAATAATCATCCCTCCTCGCCTTTCATCGCAGTGCGGCGGTCGTGTGGCCGAGGGTGCCTATGTCGGTATCACTCGTATGGAAGCGTTGTAGTTGGCCATCAGTTTGGGGTAGGTTGACAAACCTCCACGGTTGAAGATGTCACCGTATGCGTTGTGTCCTCCACGTGTCCGCGTGGTGTTCGCGTTTGTTTAGTTTGATCAGGTGACAACGCAAGAGGCCAGGGTGAGTCTCGTTTGCAAGAGTGAACTGGTGTGTCAGTCTGAAAGTAGGGGGCGGTGATTGCTTTGTAGAATTCCAAATGAGCAGTTTGCCGGTCATTTTTGAACATGGTAAATGTGGTCCTGGATGCTTGTACCCAGCAGACTACTCTTGCAATCACATCGGATACTTTTTTTTAAGGTCCACTGTGAAGCAGATGACGCATATTATTAATTTCGTTGTTATTTCACCTGCAACAATAACCAGAGCGGCAGCTGGAATTCGAACCGTGAACCTCTACAACAAGCGCGGTGAATGTGCTGCCGCTGACGGTACGTCACCGCCCAAAGGCGTTGGAGACGCATCGTGTCGAGAACTGAGTGCCAGGTGTTCGCCAACATCTCGGCTGTGATTGCTTCTAATTTTTGTTCTGTTATGTGCCGTTGAAGACGATAACCCTTGAGAGATTTTATGTAAAAAAATGAAATACTTTCAACCACGCTGTTCAAGCTGCTGTCGAATTATGTTACGAAAAATACGCACGCGTCAATAGCATTACATTGAAGGGACGAATATTTAAAAGGCCACGTTTCGGGTAATGGGTCTTCTTCATAACGCAGGGAGGTCCATTGTGCTATGAAGGGCCATTGTCTCTATACGTGCTATGAAGAAGGGCAATTGCCCGTAACGTCGCCTATTATGTATTCGTTCTTTAAAGGCACTGCTATTGACGAATGTATTCAGTGTGTTGCTTGTGCTTGTGCACCACTGTCAACATCACTAAATACTGTGCTGACAATTAAGGTGATTTAATAAGTGATACGTTTCATGGTGGACACGCTGTATCATGAACAATATTGAATAGTATTTGCCTTCAAAAAACGAAGAAAAGTAAACCTGCTGCGTCGGATGTTGGCGCGTACGTCGATAGTCACAATTGGCCGCATAAAAGCGTTCGTGGATCACTCGAAAGATTGCGCCATCAAGTGCGTGGGAGATGCCCACGTGCTCGTCAAACGATGTGCCTGTAGGGGGGCAGTACGACACGTGGTTATGAACAACCTGTGCGGAGTTACTGTGTCAGCGTCCTTGCCTCTCATCCGCAGCTTTTCTCTGGATATCGCACGCAAAAAAAAATCAGCGCTTTAGAGATACACCAAATTAACACGTGATTGACATATTCTTAGGTTTTTTCGGTAAAGTCACGTAGGTAAAAACATTAAAAAGTAAAATAAAATAAAAATAAAAACGTGATTGACACTAATTAATGACTGTATAACGACGTTGTGTATATCTAACCGGCAGTCAAAATTACTGTACCCGGAATGAGCTATAGACCTCGTCAGATTTTCCGAAGCTAAGCAGGTTTGAGCCTGGATACTTCTTGGGTATGCGATTATCACGCACAGCAGTCCGGCATATGCTTGTGGGGCTGTGGTTGGCATCAATTGGCAGTGGAGCTAAATAAACAGTTGTATTATACATCTTTGCCCCCCGCGTACCGACTGGTGTGATACGAGCATGACAGAACAACTCCCAAGACCCATGATGGGGTGAGGTTCGGAATGAAAAAAAAATCTGCATATACTTGAACTTGCAGGTATTCAAATGACCATCGATACGCTAAGTTGAGATACAAAATAGCTGCCCTCCCGAACACACCTATATCGGCTACGCACAAGCTGTGGGAAATTCCCGAGTTCCATTCACCCATGAAAGAAAAGTCCAGACTTGTTTAAATAAAGACTGCGACATCAAAGGGCATCGACACCACGGCAGTGTACACCGCGCACGCACACGCGTTGAGCAAAGTGAAGGGATGCAAAAAAAACAACACGTACGTGGCGGCGCGTCCCACGTCGTGTCAACGAATAAAACAATTCCTGAATGACACACAGAGGATTCTGAAACACGCTGCACGGTTCGAGCTAACAAGGACGCCCTTTTGCCACGGACGCACACCCCAGAGAGCTTACTCACAGCCGTAATTGCTCAGGTGGGCTCAATTGTTAAGGTGTCATCGCAGCAGCAGCAGCGGCGGCAGTGGCAGCTGCTGCTGCGGCGGCGCTCTGAGGGATCATACAGCAACACGACCCGGGCGCGGCAACTGGCACACACAAGAGGGCGAGGGGGGAGAGGAGGTGTGGTGGATTTTTGTTCTTGTATCTCTCAACACCCCCCCCCCCCCCATCAATCCCTCTCCTTATTTTGTGACACCAGCCTGGCGGTAGGTAAAAGGGTAAAAGAAGGCAGGGCCCTTCCTGGCCGGGGCGGGACTACAAGCAGTCGAAAGGACCCCTCCGGGTTTTTTTTGCGTGTGTGTGTTGCCATACATGGAGAAGGGTGCTTAGGGGAGGGGGGGGGGGTATAGAGAGAGAGAGGTGGGGGCGGAGGCGGACAGAGTTGGCGGCCGACAGACGTTCGAAGAGAGAGGAGGGTTGCTTCATTCATAGTCGCCCGAGGCTAGGGGACGGGCGCACGCAGGCACGCTGGGGGTTGTTTATTAGTCTCTCGCGTGCGCCTTGCTAAGTTTTTTGCCGTCCGAGATTGTCGGAGAAAATCGTGTGCGCACCCTGACTCTGCGAAAAGCACGCGGGCTGACAGCTACCGGACTAGACGTTGTTTATTTGTTACTTGCCAACTAGCCAAGAGCTTTTTTGTTTGTTGTATTTGTCATTTAGTAAGCGGTGGTTGAGATTTGTTAATCGGCGAACGGCTTGTGCCGATACACAGGAAGGGAGCACGATGAACCAAAAAATCGCCACTCGTCTGATGCTCGCTTGCGTCTCGATGGGGATGCTCTTCAACGCCGCGATGTCCAGCGCAGCCAACGAAGGTAAGGAAGTGCGTGAGTGAGTGGTGTTTTACGCACACGGGGCACAGCCTCTAAGCGCTCACTCACTCACACGCTCTCGTCGCGCTCAAACAAACTGTTGCGGGACCAAGTGCCCGTGTGGGTTTGAACATTATTTTAACACGCAACGCCAATTGCGTCATATCGCGATGTGCGTCTCTCAAAGTCTAGCTCGTCGTGCTGTGTGTTATGTAGGTACATGCACGTGTAGTGTACTGTGTAGCCTGTAAATATCCCTATCGATAGTTATCGATCATGCCTCGAGTGTGTGTATCGATATATTGTGTGTATATCACGCCTCCCCCCCCCACCCCCCATATGGGGGAGCGGTAGTGTAGTGGATATCGAACGACGCTTTGAATCACGACCGACCCCGGCTAACATCAGTGGCGATGTGATTTATCTGAGCCGATGCCCGCACTCCCCCGCCTTCACCGACTCGCACCAGCGTGGTGAAGTATGTTCATAGATTGTCATGTGTCCATGAGCCACACCGCATGGGGAGTGGGCCTTCATCCAGCAGTGGATCGACACGGTCTTTTAAATTATCTTTTTGCGTAATCAACATGTATTTTTGTTGTATCACGAATCTCTCCTGCGTGTCGCACGTGTGTTATATACTGCATGTAGCCCACGTGCAGTATATCCCAGGTACGTGTCTGCTGTGATACGCGTGTGGGTGTGTGGTAGACGCACGTGTTCCATTGCTGTAAGGAGTTTAGCGGAGGCTGTGAGAGCGTACGACCATCCAACTCAGTCGCGTTAATCGGCCTCTCGTTCCACGCGCTCAGCGTGTCCCATCACAGCATCACCCCGTCAGTTTGTTCCATCTCGTGCGCTCGTCGTGAGAGCTCGCTGGGGGGAGGAGGGGTGGGTGTCTCCTTGCCCGAGGTATAATCCGCACCCTCCCAATACCACCACCGCCGCCGCCGCCTTACGAGGGGGTTGGTGGCCCACAGGCGCGCACGGCTTTCGAGCGTTCACAGCACGCGGGAGGCGAGCAGAGATCGTCACTCAAACTTTAACCGCACCTTTTTTTCTTCTTCGTGCACTGCTTTACTTCGTCCAGGAGTCATCGTTGCGTCGTCGAACGCGTATATTAGTTATCGTACGTTAATTAGTGCACGTATACGCCCGTGCCATTGTCAAGCTTAATTAATGTGACTAAAGGTAGGGCTGTTTTTTTTGTTATCATCAGCCATGGTCGGTCCACTCCTGGGTCAAGACATCCAAAATCCCATACCACCTGTCACCCATTTTGCGATGTAATAATGATTCGTCGATAGCACCTGAACACGAACTTATTTGATCGCCGCTACATATCCTATAGGTATACGGTTACTACTATTCTTTGGTTCTTTCGGTAAAGTCACGTATAAAGATAAAATAATAAATTAAATAATAGCATACGACGTCTCGATTGCAACACAAGCAATCATACCTGATTATCTTTATACGTGACTTTAACGAAAGAACCTAAGAATAATTCCTGCAGTCACGAAAGGTCCAAAATTACGGTTAATACTATTAATTATGCGATGTATATGTACAACATACACGACACACATTTTCTTCTCAGTACGAACACCTGGCCGACATCGATCTGACACGTGACTATCTACGAAAAAAAGGAAGAAACGCAACCAATGAGCAGTAGACCGGAGTCAACATCCGATGTTTATAACATGAAGCCAGCGGAAACCAGATTCTATACACTAGGCATATGAATCAGTCTGACCGGATCACAAAACCGCAGTGTGCTAGTAATAGCTTATACTACTAACACGTTGGCAAGGGGCTTGCATTTTCCGTGAAATCCCCGGACAGTGAGTCATCCAAACGATACGGCTGCAGTTTAGCCAGTCATTGTGGACGGTAAAGCACCCTTTGTGCCAGGCTATCTGTTGAATGTGTTGAAATGCCAACGCTCTATAAAGTGCCGGCGTTTCCCATCCAGAGAACGGCGCGACACAGAAGTCAATCTGTAATGTTTAACTTTCACCGTTCAGCAAGGGTGTTTAACTCCAGCGGTGAATACATTAGGGCTAACGCTAGATGTAAGATTAGTATTGATAGCTAAGCATTGCTTTAGAAACGGGTTAAAGTTTGGGATGAGGTTGAAGTTTCAGATATATTGTGTGCGTTTTCATAAGGCATTGAAAAAATTGAATAAGTAGTGTTAGGGGTTAAGATTTGGATATATTTCATCATCAGCCATAGATAAGCCAACTGCTGGGTTGTTAACGCCTCTTCATCCGTCGCGATCCTGCGATTCAATTATCCACTTAGCACCTGTACACAAGTAGATTCCATTGCTCCATCTCCCCGACGTGCGTACTCACGGATCCGTTCCAGTTGTTGTCAACTTGACGACTCTAAACTTTGTTAATAACTCTGCGATCCAAGCATTACTCTTTCACGATGTAAAATTCCAAGCACGCGCCTATCATTGCTTCTTTGCGTTACTTAAAAAAACACACGTGTTCCGTTTCATGCATTAATATAATTTCAAAACTTCTACGAGTGTTTGTTTGCGTTGTTGTTTTGCGTTGAGCCTCAATTAGGGCAAGTCAGTTAGCGTCAGTTACAGCTCTCCTTCGTGTGAGATGCCACCGAGATTGTTTCGATTGCCGTGCGTGACCACGTTCACGAGATTCTCTTTCTCAAGATCGTTTGCGTACACAAAGACAAAGCACACAACCTGGAGCGCCCACTTTTAGCAAGCGTCGAATGCAAGTCATTAATCGTCGCAAATCAAACGGACTGTGGATTTCATGAAAACTATTCGGCTTGCTCCTTTTTTTGTTTGTTTCAAACGCATTGCCAGAGGGTTGAACGCCTTTTACCTGCATCGCCTGTTAACGTGACAAACGCACAAATACAAAGATCCCCCGTACAGCCTCGCCACACTTTTGGGGCAAGGGTGTTTAGCGAGCACCTATGAAGGTCAGAACGGCGCCCGATCGCCTTTGTCTCCCCAGTGGCAATCCTAGGGGAGGCACAGGACCCGTTTCAATAATCAGCACAGGTGTTGGGCGGGAATCGAACTCGCGTCGATTTTTCGTAGCGCACCACCGCTCCTCAACATTAACAAAGCGCGCACACGCACACAGATAACAGCGAATCCAGATTAAAATTGGCTGTAATTGTATAAGTGCATCCTCGAGCAGCAGTTGCAATGCATCTTGTAATTCGCTGCTGCTTGGCCATTCGTAAAAATCGGACGTGAAGAAATAAGCCCCGTCATCATCAGTCGTTCGCCGCCGTCGCCGCACATTAGTGCAGCGCTGCTGCTGCTGCTCTCTGCACAAAGCCCCGTGGTGTCGCACTGCGCTTCGTGTTCAGCTGCACAGCTGAGCGTGTGTGCATCACCGGCACGGCTTTGCCTGTTGGTTTTGTCAGCCTTGCTCTGCCATGCGTGCCGTTTGCAGCGTGTCCGCTTTGGATCACCAAGGAAATGGGCATTGTGTGCGCGCGCGTGTGTGTGTGTGAGACGCGTTTTGTCTGCAGGCCAGGCCAACCTCTGAGTAGGGCTAATGTGTCAGGGTGAATTGTTGTAGGGGGATGTCACAGCTGTTGGTGGTGGACGTTCATGACCATGTGGTGTTAGTATTGGCAGTATGCTCGTGTCATTTGCGAGATCGAGTAATTTTAGAAAATTGTTCGCAACGTCAGATCGCAACAGCGTGTCGAACGCGAGCGGTCGTGCAGTGGTTAGTGCACTGCGCTCGGAGTTTGGTTCGCGGCTAACGTCGGTGACATCCGAGGCATCCCTAGCCACTAACCTCACCCCCTTCATCCAGCCGTGGATTGACAGCTGTCAATTATTATTGTGAATTAATTAATACAACACTTTTATATCTAATTTCATCTCGGTTGTCTTTTGCCTTGCAGATAGCAAATCTCAATGTTACGGTTAAGTAAAGGACTTTGAAAAAAAAACATCTAAATTTGGGGAATTGTCATTAGTGTGCACTTGTCACTTGCATGCAGATTAATATAGAGAACATAGCGCTACATTTTGGCAGTAGTTTGCACGTTGAGTTATGCGGCCCTCATAAGCATGCACACTGTCTTTATCGCACGCAATAAAATAGTTTTTTTTAAAGCAATTGGCCAAAGATCTCATTGTAAGATCCTCCTGAGAAAGAGCCTTGAGGCTTGTTATACTTTCCTGGATAAAGTACATTATTGTATCCGTTATAAGCAATGCAATTGATCCAACCCTGAAAAAGTTGAGCACAATTGAGTAAAATCTTCTTTTTTTGTTCTTGTATTTATCAGAGTTGAGCCAAAATATTCAGTGTGTATATATATACACGTAATTATATGGGTTAGCTTATCAATAAAGTGTTTTTAAGTTGCTGTCTACGTGAAATATGGTCCAATGTAGTGTCTGGAGGAGTGCAATACGAGTTATTGTACTTGTAAAGTCAACTAGGTTACGTGATGTTGGAAATGTTAGTTGGTGTCCTTGAATGGCCTTATGAACAGACAGACCCTTACGGGGATGGGGACATTGGAAGTGGCACGTCGGCATGACACTGCATTGATCAAAGTCTTCGGTACAGTCGTGCAGACGCCAGGCACAGCCCTGTTTACCCAGATAATCTACATCATCACAAGTGAACAGCACCTACCTCAAGAGCCAAGCGTTCACCTTTAAGCCTGAGCAAGGCACAACATTTAATCAATTTTGAAACGTCACAACGTAACGTAGACCTTTTAAAATCTATTGCAAACGCTGTACCGTAGAACAGTGGAATTCCTCTTAACTGCGGTGATGTGGGCAAAGAACATCGTGGATTCTATTATTTGTGAATTTATCCACGAATTGACTCTACATTTACACAAACAATGTGAATAATCGCAGATATTAGGAACAATAGGGGCACAGATAATAGGTGGTTTTGCAGACCCTATAGGTCCCGAAGATAAGAGTATTTGCAGATAATAGGGCCACAGAAAATAGTGATTTAACGGTGTATATGTCTAACGAATGTAGGTGTACTATGTATAAGTCTAACAAGGGCTCCTGGCATTCTAAAGTCCACATTAATGCGATGACTATTACATTAGTTTGAAATCTCGAATTAGATAGTGATTACATCAATCTGTGTGACAGGAGAGTGCTTCAACAGTGGCGGGCCTTTACAGCAGATAGATTACTGTGCCACTTGATGATATGATCGGTAGACGTGGAGTGTTTTTTTACGAGATGATGTGCAGCATGTTTATAGGACATTTGGAAAGATGTTTAATTGTTAAGCGTATGGTGGCATAAAAATACAATACACCCGAGTTTCATTAAAAAAAACATATTTGTCCCTTCTGAGAAACTAAACTCTGCTGTAAAAGGGCAATTTTTCCCTTCCCCTGAGTAAAAAAAAAAATCGCTAATCGTGTTTGTTTAGTTCATAACTGCATTGCACATTCCCCACGTAAATGTAGCCCGCAGCAGTCGCAAAGTCGTCTGCATTCCAACTGCGCTGCTGCTCACGCAGCTTTGAGGGTTGTCGTCGTTCATTACGGCGCTCAGCGTGACAAATTCAGAAATCGCCGACGCAAGTGTCTGCAAGAACACACAGGTTGTTAACGTTCCCCTGGGACGCACCAACGAAGCCGCTGTCCTTTGTTTGGCAATGTTGTCTGGTCGCCTTAACTTTGCCGGAGGAATGAACGTACCGCCAGCCACAGAGTATTGATGCATTGCAAAGCCAGTTTTGTCTCTCAGACGGATTACTGAGCCGGTTAGTATTGATTTGTTTTGACCGAGGATAACTGGAGCCTTTAATTAAAGAAAACTAAAGGGCATTCACTCAATGACTCGGGCTCAACATGTACACACACTGGCAATTTAAACAGTCAAAGGGAAAAATGTGGTCAGTGGTTAGAGTGCGTGGATCGTAATCATAAGGGCTTGAGTTCAAATCCCGTTTGGGGAAACAAGTCATTCCTTTATCCCTATACGGTTGATAATATAAGTATCATAAAGTGGTAAGTCAATGGTGGTTGCCCTGTGGATAAACTCATCTTTGCCAGAATAATATGGAAATTGCAACACTGATTATTTATACCGTACACAAAAGCTGAGAGATGCTCAATGTTTAGTTGTGCAGAAATTGACTTAGATTTTTTTCTCTTGCCAAAAAAATACATGTAAAATGACAAAGTGAATTGATTAATGAAGTTGAAAATGAATATTTTAACTGTATTAATGCAATTCATTAGTTAAATCCCGTTGTTAATTCACTGGGATTGAGGTGTTCCCAAGTTGTGTCAGTTAATGGGAGGTTATTTGACCATTTTTTTTTACCATTCTGGCTTTCGAGGGTTGTTAAAGGAGGTGCTCAGAGTCAGTTAAAATACCACATCCCACTCATGTTAGCTGTGGTATTGAACTCAGGCCACTGGGCTCAAAGCACCCCCCTCTATAAAAATAAAACACATACAATATGACGTAAATTTCTTTACTGTTTACCTGCCCCTCTCTGTGTGTAAAGTGTACAAACATACATGGTCAGTGTGGAATCATCACACAAATAAAATAACGGGAGAATTAATCACTCTCCATATAAAATAGCACCGTTTACAAAATTTACGGCGCATTGATTTTTAATTTCGATGCTGACGGCGGTTATGAATTCTTGCAAAGTTTTTATTGGAGTGAAAAAAAACGATACATTTTGGATGGATAGGCATAGTTAGTGGAATAGCCACAATAACATACATCTCCTTTAATTCTTTTGAAATGTAGCCTCGGTTAGATAGTGCACTGCAATATTGGCCAACCTGACCATTCTATCACAATTAGTAGGCTGCCCGTTAAGCTCAAGGTTTAGAAAACCTATAAAAGGAATACAGAAGATTCATAAAAAAATAAAACTTAAAAAAAAAAGTTTTACGCTCTTCGCTTCTTTCAAAGCCTCCGTCATAAATTGAAATTACTTGCACTGATACATTAGAATGGGGCTGAAAGTCATGGGATGGATGTGTATATGAGTACATACCCATCTTTATTTTACAGTGCAGCCAGGTGCAATCCCACATGCCTCGGAGGCGTTTTGCAAAGTCGTAACAGTTGGATTCCCACCACAGGTCACTCATTTGTAGAGAATTGCCACAGAAGAAAATGCAGAGATATATAATCGATGCACAAATAGCATTATTTAAATGTAAGTACAGTGGTAATATTTAATACATCACTTCATTGTGTAGACAGGGTTTTTTTTTATGGCCAGCCTTTACATAAAAGAGAAGTATTTCTGAGTTTAGCTTTAACTTGATGAAACGAGGATGCTGATTTTGTTTCCAGGTCTGAAACTCATTTGATGGCACTCACCATTCTACTGTAGGGCCAATACGAAATCAGTATTAGCTGTCAATCAACAGGGGGGCATCCTGTCCTGCTTGTTTGTGGCCCCACATGATTCCCACGAAACTATTTGGAAGACGTGTCCATTAGCGTCAAGGTCACTGTCAAATTTAACTCAAATTACAGTCATGTGAAGTATTATCGGTTTTGAACATCGGATAAGTACAATGCACATTTGTATCAGTGCCGACAGTGAGTAATTTGTACAAACACAACGTACACAAATATAGGGACCAACGTGACATAGCAGTACTTGTAGGCCCTTTGCATTACGCACCTGACACTGATAAAGAAAGGAATTTGTGCAGGATACAGTTTATTTGTTCTTGTCACAGGCTCGAGCCAACACCCTTGCAGATCATTTAAAAAAAACTTTTTTTTTACGACCGGGAGTAAAGTTTTGAATAAGCGAGGAGTTTGAAGTTGAACTTTAGATTGATTCATGCCTGCCCTGCTGTAAATTCCTGTCGGTAATAATTCAGCTGACGTGGAATAAAGCCACACATTCTGTTTAAACAAACCCTCAGTAAAACTGGTCACTTGGGTGACAGCATGTTATCTGGTTAGTAAAGCAGAAGGCACATTTCAGCACATTCCTTGTTTTATAATTGATCAGCGAGAAGGTTTTGTTTTATTTTGTGCGTAATAAGAACTTAGTTTCAAATCGCCAACAAGGATTGCAATCTTCTTGGTTCTTTCGGTAAAGTCACGTAGAAGGGAAATAATAAAATAACGGAAAAAATATATTATAATATTATTATATTATTTTATTATGTTAAATTTTTATTATTTTATTATTTCCCTTCTACGTGACTTTACCGAAAGAACCACGAAGATGAATCCCTGCAGTCACAAAAGCTTTAAATCGAAGGATTGCAATGTTCATCAGCACTGCTGTAACCAGCAGTTGTTGTTTCACAGGCCTGACTGCTGATGATCCCTGCAGGTTGAAACCGGTCCATCATTTCTGTGTGTTAAATAGTGATGAAAAAATGCTTCAGAAAACCCCATAGGCTAATGAACAAAAAACAAATGTTATGATGATTTTCGAGCACCTATACAATGATTTTTATCTACACTGTATTTAGTTGTGCCTTTGGAAACATAGAGTAGTTTTTGTAGGAGCATGTTAATCCTATTAACCTTATCAACAATCCCATGTTTGAACAAAAATATACTGCAATTAAAAATACATCTTTTACTTATCTATCTTTTAAATTTTCAGTTGTTTTAAGTGCGGGGTTTTTTTTCGTTTCAAGTTGAAGTTTGCAATCACCCTTCCGGCGGGGGTCACCGCTTAATCTGTTGGATCAGCAAATAAAGTTACTCAGCAGAAGTGACTTCCAGTTGCTGAGTGAATCACGCTCCCAGTCCGTCGGCGGTGATGTATAAAATAAGGGCGTGCCACCTGGATAAATCGTTTTGTCTGCGTGTGTAATTTCCTGTCTGCGGCGTGCAATGCCTATGCAAATAAACCCTCGGCGCTGTTACGAATGCTTTGCGAGGGGAGGGTATGAGCGGCACATGGCTCAACTGTACGGAACGTCGCTGAAATCCAGCGGGAATGCGTCTTTGTGTGTGCCTCGTTGCTTTGGCTTTGGTGTCCTATTCAATGATTTGCCGAGCAAGTGATGACGACGGCCTAAACGCGTTTCGTTGTTCGCTCGTATTATATCATGCAAGAGTGTTTTTGCGCGTGTGTGTTACTCTTTCTGATGTGGTCGGTTTGATGAAACAACATAAATGGGTTCACTGGAGTTGTTTAACTTATGGGAGCAGAGCAAGTATGTGTGTTTTTCCAGGCAGAGAAGTCCAGGGAATGTAAATGGCCGTTGATTGTAAAGATTTGATAAAAAAAATACTTAAAGCTTTAAATTTGTACATGTTGGCTAGACAAAAAAAAAACATTTTTCTACTCTTTAATTTTCTGGCCCCAATATGCCCACTCCAATTATACAATACATATACTAGCAATGGGCATCTACTGTGTGCTTCCATGTGAATAATGATGTACTGTATCATAACTATGATTATTTATATATATACATAGACTTAAACATGTGTGTGTGTGTGTTTTCAGCATAGCATCGACTTGGCAAGCACAAGTTCCGATAATAATTTACCTAGAAATAAATAATAGCTTTTAATAATAAACAAAAAAAGGTTCCAACTGAACCTGGGAAATAGTCCAAGTTATCGAGCCAAAATAAAGGTTAGCGATTAATGTAACAAAGTACGAACTCTGGAGCAACTAACCTCAAATAAATAACCCAATTAGACAAAATCTAATTAAAATCTTTACCGCTACTCAAGAGTTCTGCGTAACAAATGTGCGTCAACGAACGACAGCCGTGTAAAGTCTTGACGAAGTAACCGAAATCGTATCGCGTGCCCGAACCAGCTTTCTCATGTCAGGGGACGTGTTGTTATCATATGCCCACGGTGTGTTTATTGTTCTTGGAATAAGACGTCTTGACGCAGCTTTTGTGTATTCCGCAGTGAACTTGATGGACACCACAACAGTAATGGGGGAGCTGGGATGGCAGTCGACTCCGTCCACTGGGGTAAGTGCACAGAATTTCATCCAAAATAAGCAGGGCCTTTTCATTATTATTATTGTTGTTTTATTAGTTGATGCTAAAACTGAATTCTCCACAGTTGTATTCCTGTTGTGCTGTTGGCATCATGGAATGTCATGAGACACAGAGTCACGGTGATTTATGTCTGTGAAATGTTGTGCAAGTTTAGATGTTGCATTTTATATATATATATAAAACAAAAAGTGATGCATCTGTGAAAACCTTCCAGCTAACAGTGCCACCAGCCTGTGGCAGATAGTGGCCCTGGAAGATGACCTTTCAGGGTCGTTCCACCACACATTATGTTGTCAAAGTGCGTTCAGTGCACGTCAATGAGAGTGAAATGGTGAATTTAGCCAATTTATTCAGATTACAATAGCTATGTCTGAATCAATCATAGATCCCCTTCACAAACCCACACTGACCAGCGTGGTGAAGTATGATCAAATACTTCTCATAGCCGATTAGCTGTTGGGGGGGGGGTCTTCATCCAGCAGTTTATTAATTAAGGGTTGCAAACGAATTATTACGATTATATTGGACAATGAAGTGTGATCTGATGGTTTTTTAGTGCAGTCACTGGTAGCTGGGTTGCGACCATCAACTCACTACATTTGAAAACCCGGTTTAATCACAGCCCTGTCGATGTGAGTCTATGGGTCTCCATGTGAGTCTATGGGTCTCCATGTGAGTCTATGGGTCTCCATGTGAGTCTATGGGTCTCCATGTGAGTATATGCGCCACCATGTGGGTGTATGGGTCTCCATGTGAGTCTATGGGCCATGTGAGTCTATGGGCCATGTGAGTGCATGGCTCTCCATGTGAGTGTATGGATCTCCATGTGAGTCTATGGATCTCCGTGTAAGTGTATGGGTCTCCATGTGAGTGTATGGGTCTCCGTGTAAGTGTATGGGTCTCCATGTGAGTGTATGGGTCTCCGTGTAAGTGTATGGATCTCCATGTAAGTGTATGGGTCTCCATGTGAGTCTATGGGTCTCCGTGTAAGTGTATGGATCTCCATGTGAGTCTATGGGTCTCCATGTGGGTGTATGGTTCTCCATGTAAGAGACAGGGTTGAGACCAAGTTGAGACCATTTTTTATCATTGAACAAAGACGGTCACTGCATCGCGCACTTTCAGATGCGCTTCTACGGCAGTCTGGAATGCTCTTCCTTCCGATAATGGGAAGCCACTGGAGCTATGCACTTTTAAATCTAGATTGGAAACTCAATTCTATCGAACTGCTTTTTGTGTTTAGTTTGTTGTCCTTCCCCCGCACCTGCGAGTATCCACATTGGCTACGTACGGTGCGAAAGAAGTTCAACATACGTACAATTCACGATGAGAGCCTCGTTTTAATAATGGGTGACTGAATCCCAGAGGCAAACCGATGACCTGAACTGTGCCGGCTCAGTGCTTTGACCCCCTGCAGCACCACCCCAACTCACCCACCCACCTTCAGAAAGCAATAGCGCCCCTTTTCACAGCAGAGGCATGGTACAGTGAAGGGAGCAGCGGATTTCCCAACTCAGCCCGCACTCGGAGGGGGTTTGATTTTCTGCGTCACTCTTGCACAACGTGACGCATTCCAAATTAAATTTGCCACACCTGCTCCCCATTGAGCAACAGCCACTACGCAGGTGTGCGGCTTTTCCATTTAATTTGCACCGTTTAAATTCGTGCAGGTTTGGCCCACTGCCCTGGGAATTGGACCCACCCCACCGCTCTCGTGTACGTTCATAGTTCGTAAAATGAGAAAAAAATAAATTCCTGGAAGTTACACAAAAATGATACGGAACATTTCAAACTTGAAATTTTAATGCAGAAATTGCGGTTTTGTGTAAATAACTCCGCCGTTGTCATTGTGCTCTGAATTCTGAAGAAGAAGAAGAAGGGGAAAAAAATAAGCGCAACTCTTGAGCAAACTTTTTTTTCTTTTACAGGGTTTCCGTTTTTATGTGGTGATAAATGGGGAAAAGTAGGAGCGTGCGTGACCACCCGTGAAATGTGACACCGTGCCCAGCACAGCCTTGCTGCCAAATTGTTTAAATGTCCCAACTGCCTCTGTGAAGGCCGGGGCAATGGGGCGGAGAGAATGAGTGAACTGACGGCACATGACGGGATTCAGATTTTTCACGTTAAAAGCAAAGACACGCCCGCATTTGTCGCGTAGATGACGCAGGACCACAGATAAAGGGTGTTCCTCAAACAGAAAAAAAGAAATTAAACAAAATCCATAAAGCACAGGATCCGTTTCCTTCACCTGAATGTCAAGCAACAACTGATCCCTTGAATAAGATAATGGTGCTCACAACAAATGTGTTGTTAAGCCGTATCTTTTGTGTTTAAGGCTGTTACGGCTCAAGTGAGGCATTTTTTTCATGTCCGTTAAAAGTGAAGACTGACTCGAGCAAGCATGCAATTTCACCGCCGTGGACGCGTTTCCCACGTCACCGCTTCTTGGTGGTGGAATTTCAGCCGAACTTTGTGCTCGCATTGTTGCGCGCACGAACGAAAGAAGATGTGTAAGAAAGCCCACTTTTGAGTACAAAAGACACATTGTTCACATTCAGCGCTGGGAAAAAAAACACACACGCTATAATTTGGGATGATTTAGCATCACTGATTGCACAAAGAACACTGTCTTACATGGTCTGAAAGTACATGGGGAATAGTGCAGCTTTATTCATTTTTATTATAATGAACACCAATCCATTTTAAAACCAGCGCAGCATTTGAATGCCATACGATTCATTTGAGTTGAACAACCAACGGCACTGTACCAAGGTGTGCATAAACAGTGTGGGTGTACCATTATTCACATTAATTATAAACATTTATAACTTGGCTCCTTTCTTTTTTGACGACAGAGTGATTTATTTGTGTTTGGATCACAGGCATAAGGCAAGACTGCAAGAGATGGTTGGCATATATTTTTTTCCCCCTGGTGTGGTTTTTGTGGGATGCAGCGAGTGCATAGTGGCATTTACGGGTCTTAGGAGGCAGAAGGAAAAGCAAGCGTGCTTTGTTGTCACCCACCTGCTCCAAATTCCTGCGTTCGAACCCACAGCCGAAAACACATTGGAAGACTGGGCACAAGCGATGGCAAATTAATCTTCGGCAAACGGTAGTGTGCCTCCTGTGAGCCGTGCCTTGCCAGGAACTTGGTGGTGGGGCGCGGGGGAGGGGGTTACACACACTTTGAAGGTTATGCCGCTTGCAGGGTTCACAGTGGGCGGCTGTGGGGGTCTCCCATTGTAGCTGCAGGCGCAGATGCCGTTAGAGGCATCCCGGTAGGTAAGTGGGCAAGCCTGATTTGGCAATTGGCAGCATTCGTGAATATGAAAGCTTTCTTGGTTCTTTCGGTAAAGTCACGTAGAATGGAAATAATAAAAAATAATAAAAATAAAACATAATAAAATAATTTTATTATGTTTTATATTTATTTTATTTTTTAAATTTCCATTCTACGTGACTTTAAAAATAATAAAAATAAAACATAATAAATGATCTACGTGACTTTACCGAAAGAACCAAGAAGATTAATCCCTGCAGTCATGAAAGCTTTAAATCGAAATAAAGGCTATCGTTTGAGGCACTTCATTAATATAGAGTTCGTAACTGTTATGCGTGTAATTGTTGCACCTTCAACGCTCCGTGCGAAGATGCATTGGATAGTTATTCTGCAGAGCGATAATTTGAACGCAAACTCTAGTACTCAGCAGGAGCAAAGTCTTGAAGTTATAGCTGCCTGGACCCTTTTTATAATGCATTATGGGTTTTTGTTTGTCGCCAGAGCGCTGTATATCGTGAACGAAGATATTGTCTGAAATATGTCAGCCAGCCAAAACTGAGTTTTCCCCTCAATCGATACACAGATTTATACCCCTCTCTCTCTCTCATGTATCATCTTTGGGGAAATGCTATTGTGAGAAACATGTCAACAACAACAATCACCCATAAGTCCCAGCTGTGATCACTTGGACAGATTGCGCTCTTAACGCAGCAGCTGACCTCTCGTGAAAGGCCATCCCTTCATTTAAGAGAACTTTTGTTTGGCATGAAGAACGGTTATAAATACACATTTCAAATATACATAATAACAGTGTATACACAAAAACGCATGCTGTATATAATTAAACATTTCTGTAAAAGGATTTCACGCGCTTTAAAAACAGATTCGAGTACTGCAAATTGTGGAACGATATGAACATTGCATTTAAAATGAGCGCACACAAGATACCATTATTTGGGGTCCACCAAAAGCATTCTACTTTGTTATAACTGCTGAACCTCAACCTGCTTTAAGAAGAAAATAATTCAAGCGCAATGATACTTAATTAAATTCAAAGCATGCACTCGATGGGTATTAAGTCAAGGCATCTTCTCGGTAAAATTTTTATGGACCCACAATGGTATAGTTTTAAATGTCAGCACACCCCCCCCAAATTCTCATATTCATTTGAGATGCATTCATGTGCAAATTATGCTAATGTATGTATGTATGGTAATGCACTGAGTTAGGGAAATTGGTCTATTAGGAGGTTTGCGAAGCTCTATTAAAAAGCGATGATGCTCGGCAGCAAACGGGTACTTTGTCAAAACGTGGCAAGTATTGGGTACGTCCACCACCGACACCTGCAGAGTTTCAGGGAGACTGGTGTGGCATGCACAGGTGTGGAGCTCACCATTACTTCCAAGGGATGATGTTGTCCCGTGGACCGGCACAAGATCCTCCCTTAGGGACACCGGTTACTCTATACCATTTAAAGGACGAGTGCTTTTTTAATGGGACAGTCGAGTATTATGAGGCCCCTTACTTCCAGCCCCAGCTGGAATATCGCATATCGCTGGTTTTAAACTTTGGCCAAATGTGTGCGCTAATGGCCAGTGAAGTTGCGCTGCAGTTGAACGCGCCAATGACTATTTGCAGTAGGGGGATGGGGGAGTGTTGTGGCTGTGGGTACGGTGGGTGGCAGTTAAAGGGCTCTTCCGGAGACTTGTTTGGATGGCGGGCCATGTATTTATGTTGAACTTCTGCCGCATCGTACGTAGCCAACCACGCTAATTGGAGGTGCGGGGGGTAAGGACAACAAACGGAACACAAAAAGTAGTTTTCAAGAAATGGGTTTTCAACTAAAGGTGGTCTCGGCCACCTGGTGATGTTGAAACTTTCCCCACTAATTGCCTTCCTTGTGTTCAGCAGTTGGTCAGTTCTCCTCTCAAACAAGCCACCCGCCTCTGCCCCATCCACCTGTGCCATAACCTGCCAGTTGTATTGATTTTTTATTATTATTCCACGTCCCTTATCGAGTGCAAACACAGATGAGCAGGGACACGAGAAAACGGCCCACCCCCTTGATAAATAACACGCCACTCACTTAGTCTCATCTTGTGATGATTTTACGGCTTTGACATGGTTACTATGACACTGGCGGAAGGGCACCATTACATTCGATTGTGAATACACTGTATAGTTTATTGATTTATGGTGCAGTTAATTTATCTGAGTAACGAAAGCGTCCTCTGTTTATCTTTAATATCTAGTTGTGTTATCCATTATTAATTTATTTGCTTACTTTACATTCGCACGGCAGACTGCGCGATGTCCCCCTGGAAAGAATGCCTCCGAATGTAATTGCGCGCAAAATGTAAAATCCAATTAAGATTAGCTAAAGCAGTTTAGGTCGTTTGAGATAAGTGGGTGCGAATCTTCGGCATGTGCGTTTAATTGGCATTCAATTATTCAAAGGAGGCAAGCAAGCCACGAGTTATTCTATCCACTGTGCCACTGGCTTTAAAAGTGCTACAGACATCACGGCACTATTTGTATAGCGCCCAGACCAGACACGACAAGGCCAGTAGCCGGGCACGTGCCCAGACTAGGCATTTTATTTGGGCGGCATATGTCAGGAGGGCACGTGAGCGCTGGGAGTTTAGTTTTTTTCTCCCCTCCTGCCAATATAACATAGTCATTATCATCTGCAATCAAATAATGAAAGGTGAACGACACACGACTGCACCACATTTTAAAACAGTCTGCCTCGGCAGCAGACCATGCTTCCCCACCTGATGACGGACGCTTGTGTTGCGCCTGAAACGTCCGTGATTAATTTTATTTTATACCTACGTGACTTTGCCGAAAGAACCAAAGAATACGGATTCCTGCAGTCACGAAAGCTTCAAATCAAGATTGAGTTGAACATTCATTCAAACTTTGAACTTCTGACCAACACACCTTCCTGAATAGATCAGTGGATTCAGGATTTATGAAGCGTCCAAATCCCATCATGGTTGTTTCAGCACATTGGCTATCCAGGCTTGGAGAAATGTGTCCTGCCATCACTTTCACGATATTCAATCACCTTTCTTTGTTTTTTTTCGGTAAAGTCATGTAGGTAAAAAAATAATATAAATTAAATCACGACGTTTCGGAGGCAACACAAGCTTCCATCTTCTTGTGGAACCGTCACAGCAAAATTACTGTATTAAACCAAGAGTATGAATCCTTGCAGTCACGAAAACTTCAAATCTAGAATTCAATCACCTGTTGAGAAGGAAGTAAAAGAGGGTGATTTTAAATCAGTAGGATATCTCTACATGGATTGACTTGTATTTATAGGATGTGCGAGGGAAATGAACTTGCATCGGCAGTTGTTTGCATTTTGTGGCATGAGGGAAAATATGCTCTTTGTGTTCAAGGCAACCATTACTGTATTTTAGTTCTACATGGCGAAGATTCGTTTCATGTTTCGGTTTCCTTTGTGGTAGGAGCAGCCCAACTCTGGCCACGTTGCACAATAGTGCGCAGATGTGTGGTTTGTGCGTTTGTCTATTTTGGTAAAAAAAAAGTTTAGTGGAAATATATTTCCAGAGAAAACACAATTTCAAAAACACTCAACCACTATGCACAGCTGTTTCTGGTCGAATAGGAAATGAAAGTTGAACCAAAAACTAATTAGTGCTGTGGTTGGTGAAGCGGTTGAAATGAATCCTGCAATATATACAGAACGGGTTTCATGATCAGTGTGGAGCGAGTGCTGAAACTCAACACCGTCGGGGTTCTGCATATGTAATTCATGATTCGGCCCACAGCTTGGGTAGAGCAATAAGGAACTGCTGTAACTTTCAGTTTTCATTTCTTGGCAACCAGCATTTGCACGTTGGTAAGGTGTGCAATTGTGTTTGTGAAAATGTGAAAAGCTCATTCTGTGCATGTGCTTAGGGACGGGTAGGAATGTGTGCACGTTTGCATATGTGTGCATGCGTTTGCATGTGTGTGCGGTTAATTCTAACATGACTTGTCAGTCTGTAAATCTAGTGTGGGCTCTTTGTGGGAGTTTTCTGCTAGATTATGATTTTTTGTTGAACATTCCATCCTTGAGCCAATTGGCGGCTGAGTTATTTTTCCTGACTTTCCATTGGAATACACTCGCATGCACATGCGTTGGACAGATTGCTTATAATTTGCGATCCCACGAATGCCACAATGTCACGTTGACGAGTTTCAGAAATGTTCGTGAAGCTCACTTGAAAGCAGTTTTTAAAAATAAAAATGAATATATATAAATGTGGCAATGTGTCGTAAACTATCTTTTCTCTTTCTTTTTTTTTCCAGTGGGAGGAGTTGACCATCATGCTGAACCAAACGACCCCAGTGCAGACCTTCCAGGTTTGCAACATGGGCTCCAACCAGAACAACTGGCTGCGGACGCGCTGGATCGCTCGCAACCCGGCCCAGCGCGTCTACGTGGAGATCAAGTTCACGCTGCGCGACTGCGGCAGCATGGCCGGCGTCGCCTCCACCTGCAAGGAGACCTTCAACCTCTTCTACTACGAGGCCGACTCCGGCGCGGATATCGACGACGGCAAGTTCGCCAAGGTGGGCACCATCGCGTCCGACATGATCTTCGACAAGACCGACGTCATCGACCGCGTGCTGAAGCTCAACACGGAGGTGCGGGAGCTGCCGCCCCTCTCCTGGACCGGCTTCTACCTGGCCTTCCAGGACGTGGGCGCGTGCGTGGCGCTCGTGTCCGTGCGCGTCTACTACAAGAAGTGCCCGGCGGTGGTGCGCAAACTCGCCTCCTTCCCCGACACGGTGACGGGCACCGACTCGTCGCCGCTCGTCGAGGTGCGCGGCTCGTGCGTGCGCAACGCGGTGGCCAGCGGCGACCCCAGGATGCACTGCAGCGCGGACGGCGAGTGGCTCGTGCCCATCGGGCAGTGCGTGTGTCGCCCGGGCTACGAGGCCGCCGGTCACGAGTGCAGAGGTGAGTCGTCTCACCCCGGCGCTGATCGCCCGGCGCAAGCCCTGGCGTGGTTCGGGAGGCACCAGGGGTTCGATTGCACACAATGAACGAGCTGAGAGGCGCGCACGGGATGCGGTGACGTTCCGTTTTTAAAATTGTTGCTGACTGGTGTCGCACACGATGAATGTGTCATAAACCCCCATCATGGCTGGCGCTGCTTGGCCCCTGAGCTACATTCAGATGTCTTGTGAGGCCCGCATATCACGACATTGATCTGGTTCAGCAGAGCAAATAGCCAGTGGAAACCACCCGTACCGCGAGGGTCTCGTGCTTGAGCGGCTCGGAGGTGCGAGTGGCAAAAGGGCACTGGAGTCTGCTTTAATAAATGTATGAATGTGATGAATGTACACTGCAGGTATCGTATTTCAACAGCTGCGATGTCATGATTGCAGTACCCGTAGTCCCAGTAAAAAAAGCGACTTTTAAAGTCCCAGGTAGGCCTACAGATTTGTCAAGTCAGCTACCTGAACGAGAGTTTGATCCTGGGAAAACCAGTACAGGTGGAAGCCTATGCCAGTCCCCTGATGATTTGGTGCTCACCGGTTCCTCTTATTCCAGGATCATGGAAAACTTTGCATATTGTTCATCACAAGCTACTGCTTAATGTAAGGAATAGTATGATATTGCCGACACACATTACTCAAAGTCAAAGCGATTCTCAGCTGAAGCCAGTGGGGGAAACTCCACGTTCCTATGGTGGGGGTGAGTCTCTCCATTGTCCAGTATAGTCATCTATGCCGGTGGTTCTTAACCTGGGGTGGACGCATCCCCTGTGGGTGGGAGACGTGGCAGATTTATGTTAGAAGGTAAATCATCAAAACACAAATTCAGCATGGGCATGTAAGTACTTCTACTTTGTCTGATCAAACCTTTGTAGTTACTAACATTATACATTGTTTTGCGGTAAAGGTTAAGAACCACTGATCTAAACATTCTTGCTACGAAAATAAATATACCTTTAAATTGTTTTAATAGTTAAAAAAAGAGATCTCTATATTACTAAATATTTTTCGTTATCTCTATAGTTATATTAAAGCTATTCGTTTACTCTTTGGTGGTTCAATGTAGTACTGCTATATCTAATCTAGAAGTCAACAAAGGACATCTTTTACAATCTATCAACTTCAGTGGCAAGGAGCAGTCGTAATTATATAAACAGCTAAACAGCTTTTCAATGATTTTTGTTTCATATTTTTAAAAAGAGCATTCAGTTCATAAAAATTCATGAATTTTAATGGCATGACTCGTAATAACAATTATCAGATAGTAAATTGTGGGCACGTAAGAGTGTGTTTAGCGCATTACTGACCCACATTCGCATGGCAATGATGAATGCAGCTTTGCCATTGGACAAAGTAGAATTTAATTAAATGAGTATTAAATACTGATTCAATGAAAGTATGTTATCCTATTTGTAGAAATATGGATATCCATGCTCACTGTGGCCTGGTGAGGAACAGAGATAGAAGCCAAGAGAGGCGAGACAGAGAAAGAGAGACACGGAGACAAGAGATGGCAGAGAAAGATCGAGATATATAGAGGGGCAAAGGGAAGATGGGAGAGAGAGAATGAGAAACAGAGACAGAAGGAAAAACTCTAGAGACAAAGAAAAGGTGAAAGAGATGAGAAGGGAGTCAGAGGTAGACAGACACACAGAGACAGAGACGGAAAGGCAGAAGCAAAGAGACACAGAGACATCTCTAAAGTCATAATAGCAATGAGACTATTCATACACAATTATCAACAGGATAGATTGAATAGGATGGGATCAGTAGACAGCATATACGTAGATGATCAAAAACAACATCATGAATGTTCAACTATACAGACGTTAAAAGCATAGTGATGGTGTCTGTGTTATTTTAATTCTCATACCAAAGCACCTTCAATAGATGTGCTCTGGTGACACAGAAGGTGCTTTACATAGCCAGAGTTGAGACCGTAAGAGGTTTAAAACAAAACTCAGAAAGACCACTCAACTGAATATACACAGTGTCTCGTAGCTCAGATGACCACATGCAAACACCATTGCAAAAACAGTTTTGGAATTTCCCACCCATGTCAACCAAGGTTCCGTATAAACCTCAGCTAACCTCTTTGTGACCAATCACCTTCTATCTATACATCTGTATATCAGCGTCGAATAACTAATTTTAATAACGTTCAGGACTCCCTACTCTGCATCGTTCTTGAGTTTTTCTTTACCACGCTTACACCACGATGGAAGCTGGTTGAGCAAAGGGCCCAGGACTGTACTCTTTGGTTCTTTCGGTAAAGTCACGTAGGTATACAATAAAATAAATAAAATACCAAAGTACCAGCAAGAAAATTTTTCAGCAAGAAACATTTTTCAGCAAGAAACATTGTTCTTGCTGTGGTTTTCCCACCTGATGATGATTGCTTGTGTTGCGATCGAAACGTCGTGATTTAATTTATTTTATTTATACCTACGTGACTTTACCGAAAGAACCAAAGAGTATGGATCCCTGCAGTCACGAAAACTTCAAATTTAGATTGGCCCAGGACAGAATCAGATGTCACTCGGCACTGATGTTAGCCGTGGCCGTGTATTGGAACGCAGCCGCCACCGGGGTCAGAGTGCAGTGTGTGGATCACGATGCACCGGTTCCACGGGGAATCATTGTACAGCACTTGCTTTCACAATTATACACAATTTAGATTTCTAAGATTCTTCCGAAGTGCCGTCCTAAGTGCCTCAGGCTCAAAACCAAGGCATTCAAACATAGCATTAGCGGGGAGCAGTGTTGCCGTCCACTGTGCCACCACTGCCCCACTAATCGTAAAAATAAAATAATGATTCAGCCTAAATGTCCGTCACGGTCTGCTTTTATATACAAAATGCCTCTTCCAGCATGCACTACATTAAATGCACAACATACAATACATGATCACAGAAATGCATTGCAAGACCAAGAATTTGCACGCTTTGTGCCGTGACTTTGGCTGGTGATGATGAGATCCCAATTTCGCTCGTGTTTATTTACGTGCCCTTGCATCTGACCCTTTCCGTATGGAGGTTCGGCAGTGGCTGTGGGAAGCCGGGGAGTTATTATGCGCAAGGCAGAGAGAGAGAGAAAGGCATCTTCCTTCATCTCAGAATTCCCCAGGGTTTTTTAGCAGTTCTTCAAAAATAACAACTAGTGCCGTGGCCACTTGGCATTCCTCCTTCCAAAAGTACGGCCCTCAAGAGTATGTGCATAGCGACACAAGGGCGTCGTCTCCAGGGATTATTCAACAACACAACAGTGCGGTGAGCTCTGGATGCGAGAGCGAGATTCATGAATACTTTTTTTTTTGTGGGATTGGTAAAAGAGAAATGTTAAAGGTGCAGCCCTGCGATTGCTTGCTTGTGCCACGGGTAGTGGAAGGGCTTCTCCTAGAGGTAGCCCGAGAGAGTTCCTGTCCAGTGGTATTTCGTTTGTTTTTCGACGCTGGCCAGATATCTTGAAGAGGTGGGAGTGCCCACATTTCACCACATCACACCACCCCCGACCTGCCGATCGAGATTAACTGTGGTGAAGCTATTTATGCTGCTGGGTGGACAGACGTCGGGGGATTTAAGAAACGTTCACCATTGCTTCAACTGCCGCGGCCGGAGATCAAAACGAGCCGACTATTTTTGGAATGCAACTTCAATGTGCTAACCACTACGAAATGCAACGGAGGCAGGCACCGGCTGTAATTCTGTTGAATATCGGACAGTGTACCAACGTTCAGGACAACCTATAATCATACTTAAAAAAAAAACTATTGAGTGTCGGGCATCTTAGTGATGAAAACATGAGCATTGTGACTGGCTCGCGTGACGTCTCTGTGTGCACGTCCATTATTCCATTTGACAATCTTACTGTGCCGGTTTTAATTATCAGCTAAATGGCTCGCAACGCAAGTGAACTTAGATCTCGCAGCATTATTGTGGCATTTGAACCTTATGGCGGCATCCCGGGGTCCTATAAACCCCGGCTCTCGTATAATCTGCGCTGCAACGTCATTTTATGTCTGTTGAAGGCGGACGATAATGCAATCTGTTCCTCTCGACGAGCTCTACACGATGCGCTAATCAAAGTTTCAAACGTTTTGTTTGTGACTACGGCAATTTTGGCAACGACGGGTGCTTGGTGAAGAACGAGAAGATTAATTTCTGGTGGGTCGCGGCGTTTATGTGCGCGGTGGGACAGAGTCGCAATTTTTTTATTTATTAATTACGATTTTTACTTCCGTTTATTCGAGACCCCGGGGTCCCACCATAATGTCCATTTTCTGCTGCTGCTGCGATGTTGCCGCCTTCTGAATGGAGGTATTTATTGCCCAGACGGGCCCCCATTTATCATGCAGAATGTAATCAACAGCGCCACTCAGGGCAGTGCCCTCCGGCCGTTTTCGAAGCGAACGGCCAATCTGGATTGTGATGGTGCAATCATTTTGCGAGACATTCTATCAAGTGCAAGCGTGCGTTACTGCGATATTTTCGAGGCCTATAACAGCGTTGCCACCTTCTGTGCGAGCATAGTAAGGAGAGAGCCGCTGCCCTTTGATTTGTTTTCGATTGAGATATTGCTTCCCAGGGAAACCGTATATTTTGTCAACTCTTACCGTATTTTATAGATTACAAGTATCTCAGGAAAGTAAGATGCACCCCCAAAACTTGTACCCGGTGTCAACAGAGTCATACAAATGTGGCCACACACGCGCGCGCACAATCCTCCATCCCCCTGCAACTCTCCCTTTAAGATTCAGGGTGATAAAGTGCGTCTTATTATCTGGGGAATATGATAGAAGCCAATTAGTACGATTTATTAAAACGTGTCAATTATGTATTACAATTTTGTTCCCCTCACATATTAAAGCATGAGCATTTCAACTTTAAATGGACCAAAAAATTGCTTCATTGATTCCCTTGTGAATTAACGCAGCGCTTTTACACACAACACGCATGTACA